GTGCATGTTGTCCGCTGTTGGCCTCAGAGCCGAGGCCTGTTTAAATGCTCCTTCCTCCTCCTGACAGCTAGATAGGAACAAGAGGACGGATACAGTATGTCGTGAAATCTGGTAGTGAAGGAATTATTTGACACGTGGGCGTACGAACAGTTTATGATTTTATGCAGTAGCTTATTAGGAGTCCGATCTGCTGAACAAACGTTCCTAATTACGCGAGGTAGCTCCAACGGACAAAATGATGCAAGATTCGTCTGGCATTGCAAATGTTCAATTACCATGGAGCCGTGGCCTGCTTGAATGGCCCGCCTAGGCAAGTAGGAGCAGGAGGAGATTTCTGATTTTGGATATTTGATCTGAGAAATCTGATTTTTGAAGAGTCCTGCGTGAATTTATTTTTTTAGCTAATATAGTTTAACATGTTAAGCTACTAAAGTCAACCAAATGTCACCTTGTTTCAGACGCGTTTTTTTCTATAAAGCGTGATTTTATCATGCCTTCCTTGTTAGCGGTCGTTATCAATGGTGTCTGTATCTTTGCCGCGGGTTGCCAGTAAGAGCGTAGTTCTAAATAAAGGCACATTGAGAGCCTTGTTCTAACATCAATAGCATACGTTCACCTATACCATATACGACAAGGAGGCATTTTGTCCCCGGACGCGATCTCTTATGTGGTCCTGGATGGGTTTTCACAATATGGAGACAGATGTCGAAATTATAGGCAATATACAACCATCATACTATAGTGATAACCCGGATTTAACGTTCTAATATTCAGTAAAACACCGTATTTAATGATTTTTTTTCAATTTAACCGCTTAAGTCATTTTATCAGGTCTCGGTTGCAGTTAGTGAAACTTCCAGTTTAGTGGAAAGAAATTACTCCTAAGAGATTCACTATCTGTGGACTTTATCAAGTCTGTTTGTTTTTTTCGATATTCTGCTTCGTGAAGACATGGTAGAAATAAATTAGGATATTTTATGTTCTATGATCTTTCATTAGAAAAGGAATTAATAGACAAATATTATTCACTCATATGATTAATAAATTTCTTATTATTGCTTGTTTCTGCAGCAGTATCAGTTTACATCTTTGATGGTTTAGAACTCATATCATGCACGCGTTGCATAGCGATACGCTCTAGTGCTAGTCTCTTCGAAGAGGATGACATCGACATGGATCCAAATTCGACAGCTGCCACTGTCGTCAAAAAGTTGCGCACTGGTCGAGTGCTGCCGAGAGTGATTTCGACTGTGAATGTGGATCTGCAGTCGAGGTCGCTATGCAATAACTGCGTTGAGGTGTTGAAGGATGCTGTGGCCAAGGGTCTACCGCAGTCCATAAAAAACAGTAAGCGTCGTCTCTCCATCACTGCTGATCACGATGTACTTGGTCATAGCGTACAGGTGGTTGTCTTTTTTCCAGCACTGCTGAAAGGCGAGGCGATCGAAAAGACGATTATGGCGTATCTGATGCGCTCGAGGCCAATGAAGGTGATACGATGGCTGTTGTTTCCAAGTCTGCTGTCATTTCACATCACTTACGTCGCTATGCAAAAGTTAGTTTTATTTTTCGCTCTTTAAAAACTTCCGTTTCTTTGCTTTCTGTGTAAATTGAATGACCTTTGAAGTTTTAGAC